GTGTGGAGAACGCCTGGAAACCAACCACAGAAGTGTCAGCGATCAATATCAGTGATCAGGAATTAATTACTGATCAATACCAGTGAGTGATTACTGATTAGTTCCAGTAATGAGCAGGCAGTTGGTCGTTTCCATGGTCCCTCCGTCTGAATCAATGGGCCTCTGTCTGCGAGTGGGCGGGAGAAGAATGCTGCTGCTGCCTTGCCATTGGCTGAGACCGTGAGTGGGCAGGAGCTGGCAGGCAGCAGCCAATCAGAGAGCAGAGATGTGTGGGAGTGACAGAGAACATGAAGATCTGAAGTCTTGGACGCACCTTAGTCTGAAGACAACATCTGGATACAGCTGCTGACATTTACACACCTGTGAGCTCACAAGGAGGCAGCCAATCAGGGGCCACCTGGGAAGGCGGAGTCAGAGGTATTACGATTACCTTAAGCTGATTGGAGTTTGCTCTGATGGTGTGCTGTGATCAGTTGGTGCTCTGTGGTGAAGTTCTCACTGGATGTTTCCTGTTGTGCTGTGCTGTGATTGGACGGGGTTTTTTTTTCAGAGTGCTGTGATTGGACTGTAAAATATGTAGCTGAGTTCTGATTGGCTGGTGTTTCTGTGGGCCTCCATCAGCTGAAGATGTTTGTAGGTGAGAAGAAGAGGACCTGTCAAACACGTCCTCAGCGCCGTCTCCCTTCGACTCCGCCCCTTCCTCCCAGGACTCTGCAGCTTGTTGCTAAGCAACTGGAGCCTCCAGTTGTCTTACGGGATCATACAAAGGTCAAAGGTCGTGGCTCAGCTGTCAGGGAGTCCTGGCCAAGTTCTAGGACATCGATCCAAGAACTCAAACCACGGGTGACTCAGAGGTCCCTGACCCCTCCCTCCAGAGCTCAGCCTGTCACAGAGGCCCGCCACCGATCCACCAATCAACCACAGCCATCCCAGCGACCCCAGAATCCTCTGCGTCACACTGCCCCGCATCCTCATTGGTCAGTTCCTGCCAGGGCTTCACCCACCGGGCAGGGCTCTGAGGCCACTATGATGGCTCTGCTGCTGTTCTGCAACAGGTAACCACGGTAACCCGGGCGGGCTTCAGATTCACCTGCAAAATAATAAATATGTGATAGTACCTGTCCAGGGCACCGTCGTAATGGAGATTTATCATTTCAGTGGGTTTGTTCATGGTTAGATAAAGTAATAACAGGTGAGAAGAACATCTGTGCAGATGTGGATAAAGGTGCTGATAACGGTCATTCACCTGTCTCAAAGTCACCTATCAGAGAGTCACCTGCCTTTCTCACCTCCCTGTCTCAGCTGCCTGTCTCTCACCTGTCTGTCTCTCACCTGTCTGTCTCTCACATGTCTGTCTCACAGGCCTGTCTCTCACCTGCCTGTCTCTCACCTGTCTGTCTCACTTGCCTGTCTATCACCTGTCTGTCTCTCACATGTCTGTCTCACCTGCCTGTCTCTCACCT